CACCATTCCCCNGTTCGAGTTCCTCGTCCACCGTACCATTACATATATATATATATATATATAGGTGTTGTTTGTATAGAGCTTAGGCTCTAAACAATCAATTAGAGCTTACCTTCAAATAGTGTCGAGAAATGTGGTTTCTTTATTGAAAATATTTGTGATAGTCTTAAAATATATTTTCATAGTTATTTATAAATTTCAAAGCTTCAAAATTAGTGTAGATCGACAGATCTATAAAAACTTGAAAATTGACGATCTGAAAATGTGTTACAAAATACACTATTTCCAAAACTTGAAATCTATTTTTTTCTCATGTCCATGCATCTTGATGCCAAGATGATCAATTTGAAGAAATTTGGGCATCAAAACAACCTCTTCTAGTGAACTTTTTGAGGTAAGCTCAAATATGATTGTTTAGAGCCTCGGCTCTATATAAACTTTTCCAGATATATATATCTATATATATTATTTTTTGGAAAAGTCTTCCCAACTCTTACAGGCGAAAATGAATAGTGATTTCACCGTCGAAAGTTTACAGCACGGTCATGATTGTCCGATAGTGTTTCGTTTTTTAATTTTTTTTTACAAATCAGAATGATTTGAAATTGAGAGTGTGTACATATTAGTGAGGCACATCTAATAAAAATAATTCGCGAAAATAAAATTGATCAAAATAACCTTGAAACATTTTGGGGGTATTTTGATCAATTTATTTCATGTAAAATATTTTTTGATATTTTCATAAATTTGCCTATTTTTTATAAACACACGCTCCAAATTTTATATTATTTCGATTTTTAAAAGAAAATGAATAATGAAACACTATCGGACAATTCTGACCATGTGATGAACTTTAGACGGTGATGAGAGTAGGCGAAATCACTGTTCATTTTTGTGTATAGGTGTTTTATAGTATCGTCCTTATTTTATTTTTTTATTTTTTTTTAACATGCCGAGTTACAAGCAATAAAATTCAGTTTTTCAAAAACCTAAAATAGACAATTTCATCGTTTTTTTTAAAAACGTGCTATGAAGTTCGAAAAACGAACATCTAAATAATAATAGAAAGTTTCAGGTATTTTCGTAATAACGGGAAATATAACGGATATTTATATAATTTTCTCAAAATAATATTTTAGGTAGATTTCCAGTTGTATAGATCAAATATTATTTTTCTATAATACCCTCATATTTCCTAAAAAAAATAATGTTTAGTTAGAATTTTTATTGTGTTACCTTCAATCTGCAAAATAAATGCATGATTTAAAAAAAAAAATTTGTTTCATGCTGGACGACATAACTATTTCAAAAAGTGTAAAGCATCCATCTTTATGATTTAAAAAAAAAAAATTGTTTCATGCTGGACGACATAACTATTTCAAAAAGTGTAAAGCATCCATCTTAAAGATAGATGCAAGTAGGTGTTCTACCCAAAAACAATGAAAACTAACGGTCCAAATATTTTTTTATTAAAAATTATTATTTCTAGTTTTTAAAATTTACGTATTTTTTTTCATATTCATGATCATGTTAAAGGTTACATGTTCTTAAAACTTAAGTGCAAAAATCCATCCCATAAATAGATTTATTAATAAGCCCACATTTCTACATATTCAAGCTTGACAGCATAGAAACCAAGTCCTTAAAAAAATATATCAATTCAATTTTTTATATTTTTTTCTTCTTTTTTGTCTGTTTTTTGCTTTTTTTTATTTTTTTACTTCTCAAGGTCCGCTCCGAATTACCGAATTGGCAAGCTGGAGTGGAACTCGGGGGTCACTGGCCTTTACCCACTGCTCCGACTTTAGGAACACCAGCGTGAAGGAAAGCGAATACGGTTTGATACAACCATTTCAATTTAGAACAGTTCGTTACATGGAATGAGCAAAACGATCAATCACTCTTATGACATTCACTACTCATGAAATTTTCAGTGCTTTGATTCCAAGGGTCAAAATGAATTCACGTGCAAATAGATACAAAAAACAAGAGTATGCGAGAGACTAGATTACAGTTTAAACAGCCCTATCAACATAAATAAACCTCCCCTCATAACTCGTCAAAAATTACAATTCAAGCGTTAGAAAACTTTTACATCGATCACCTTGAACATATTGCTTTGAACATTATGGTTCTGAAACAAAACAACCACCAATTCTTGATAAAACATAATAACAAAATATCCTAAAAGTTTCAAACGCAATTTGATCATTTTATAGTAGTCTCGTCGATTTTTTCACGGAACCACCAATTCTGACGATTCTTCACAGAGTCTGATCGATTCCTACCGATTCTTCACGAAGTCGAGAAAAAAAAAAAACAATGATGAACAATTTTTTCTTGAATTATTTTTAAAAAATTTTAAGACAAAAATTACAGATTCTTCCGATCTAATCCATCGATTCCCCCGATCGGACACGGTTATGAGTGTGACCAATTCAAGTCACCAATCCATTTTTTTAAACACTAGGTTAGAGACTCACTATAATATTATGGTTGAATGTATCCAAACTATTCATTCAAACAACATGACAAGAGCATCGTTCGCAAAAATCACCCGATGTAGCCGCTAACTGAACCTTCATGCACCTAAGGCGTTCCTGAGCTCCCCACTTCAAGTATGGAACTGTTGTTATGGTAGGTTCTGGTATAGTTTCCTCCATGAATTAATCAAATAACTTTTCCTCTTCAAGAAAGATAGAAAATGGGCTGATAGGTTTTGCAGAGAGGATCAAAAGAACGATAAAAGGAACGTAAGAAGGGTAAGAAGAGAGAAACAAGAAGAGATACTGAAATTGGCCGAATTTCGGTTTTTGAATAACAGAAAATGGGCTATTTCAACTTTTTTAAAAAAAAATTGTTATGAAGTCCAAAAAATGAAAATACCAATAAAAACGAAAACTATTTGATATTTTGATAATCACATAAACTAAAACAAATATTTACATAATTTTTCCTTCTTTTTGTTTTTTTTTTTTTTAACAGATGAAACTGCCCATTTTCGATTTTGGCCATATATATATATATATATTATTTTTTAATTTTTTATTTTTTTTTAATATGCCTCGATTAGATCAGAACTGGCCACTGACCGGTTCCGGTTTTGAGCGGTTAGAGTAATCAACCGGTATTTAAAAAAAAAACAAATCAAATATATATATTCATAAAAATAAAGAATTTGATTTGTAATGCATTTTAAAATATTATTTACATTATGATAAAGATTAAAAATTGTTTTAGTCATTAACACTCACTTTTATATTTTCCCATCTTTTTAAAAAATTTTAAAAATAACCCTTAAAAAATATAAAATAGGTTAAAATCCATTTTTTTCATTAATTTTCAACTTCATTTGAATGTGTTTTGTTTTAATCATTCTTTATATGCTTTTCATATTTTAGTAAATTTGGTTTTGTATCTTTTTTATTTTTTTTTCAACCATTTTTTGAACGTTCCGGACTTGCCTAGTTAGAACGGTTGAATCGGCCGGTTTACCGGTTACGCCGGTTAAACTGCTTCTAGGCCCGATTCGATTTTGTGAACACAAGGCGAGAGTGACAAATATAAATTCCCTATATCTAGTGGCATATAAAAGCTTTCCCTCTTCTAAAAGCCTTTTAAGAAAGAAAAAGTAACACACCTTATACAATAAAGATAAAGTGCATTTCAAAACGCCACTTCAAAAAAGCTCCATAAACCTTCCAATTGAATTCACGACTTCAAGATATATGGTTAGTTACGGTTCTTAAAAAAAGATTTTAAGTCTTAACATTATAACGTATTATCTAGATAATCTATTTTCTAAATATTCAAATGTTTATAGATCTACTCGATCGGCATTGTATTTTGAATAAAAATAGTTTTTCAGACCATCACAAGGCTTTTTGGCTGCTATACTGCCTGCATCTTTGGATACGGTTTAGAGATATGCCTTACCTTGATTGCTCAAGGTTGGCCCCTTCTATGAACCACCTCTGAGAAAAGCGACAGCGTCGTATTAAATTAACCTTAAAAGTTTTTGTCTTGAGTACCCTTGCTCATTGACAGGGGTAGTCTAAAAACCTTCTTGCTTTTATCGTCATCAAAGATCATTTTCCATGCCTCATTTACATGCCTGTTAAACAGGTAACATTCACAGGTCAGAAAAGTAGAAATAAATACAGCGCGGGCACAACAAACTAAACGTGTTAAAGGGCAACTTTCTGAACGTCTGGAGATTTGAGCAAAATAAATTTCAAGATGAAACCAACCACCCCAGATTTGTACACACAGCGATATACTTTACCTGCAATTTGGAAAAGCACAGAAAGCAGGTCATAAACCAGAAAAAAACTTCAAGACAAACCACGTCGATGGAAAAAAAAATACATGAATCAATGGGCGACCATAACAAAACCAGTTCATTCCTAAGGTAGGTAGCTCAACTTCCTCGAGCAATCTGGAAAATCTCAGACTTGGTACAAACTCAAACCTCATTGTTTCAGGGAATCTCAGACTAAGGTCAGCCCATCGAGTACCGAAGCTTCCTAACGATTTGGATGAAGAAAAATGCCTAGATCACATGAATAGTTAGGAAATGAAATGCCAAAATAATTCTACATTGAGAAAGAAAGTTCACTTGACATTAAGAACTAACAATGAACATTTTGAAGAAAACAGCCAGGAAAATGTGCTCATCCATTTCTTGTCTCATATGCCATCTATGGCAAAAAAGAAAAACCTGGCTTGATGATACCTGTCCTAAAACCATGCTTCACACCATATCTGTATTGCTGAAGTTCTCCAGGGCCCTTGTCCTTCAAACTCAAGCTCTCATGGTCATCACAATGGTGACATGTAAGAGAATCTAATTTGGTCAGAGAATCAATTAGCAACCCAAATCTCCAACTTATCAAGGAGGAGCCCTATTTTGAGTAAGGAGATTCCTGTAAATTATAGTTACACAGAATCTTAGGGGCATAGAAATAAAAGGTTGGGAAATGTGGAGTAGGAACATCAGCATCATTCCCCCCTCGATGAATCTCCAGAACTACAGTGAAATACTTTTCATAATTATAAATTGTGTTTACATTGGTATGTTTTATTTTCCAATAGAAAAACAGCTAACCAGAGGCCAATCCTGGCACTTGTCTAATATGCATGGTTCAAGTTCCATGCCTACCCAAAAGTTAGAATGAAATGAAACTTTCTGGATAAATTTTGAGAATGACAGTGGGAAGAGCAAGAACATAATGGCAAGGTTGGAAAACATGGTAGGTGGCACGGTGCCTAGGAAGTCGGAAGAGGGTTGTGTTTTTTTTTTTGGTGTGTTTTGGGGGCGGAGGGCTTGGGTGCCTACACACCTAGGCAGGCGCCACGCTCTTCAGGCGCTCTAGACAGACATATATGCATATAAGAGTGGCTCACACGCACATATCTGCATATATAAGTATCATTTTGTGTATTCATGCATTTACACATATATGATTGTTTATATGTGCTTCCACGCTGAAAACACATTGAAATTATCAAATCACATATAACAATTAATAAATGATATCTATGATTCCATGAAACACTCAAATATCCGTACAGACCATACACTAATTTAACTTAACCACAAGTCCATACACTGAAGTCTAGGACTCCAATCTCCATAGTCCATACACTCCCCAAATTGGTAAAATCCAAAGTTTAAACCACAATGTAGTGAGAACCAAGGAAGTCATAAAAATAAAATGACAAAAGAGATGAATAGAAATTTAAGTAGAATTTAGTCTTGAATCATCATCTACTTCATAATAACATTTGCTTCATTCCAATAACCTCCATCCAATTCCAGGCCATCATCATCAAAATCGTCCTCCTCTTCAACATAATGGCCCTCCTCTAACTCTTGCGAATTCCCAGCGACCTCCTCCTACTAATCTATTTCCAGCCTCCTCCCCTGTGAACTAGGAGTGCTGATAATTGATCTAGTGACCCTCCTAGGGTTGGAACCTTGCCTTGAAGCCTCCTCAACCAGATCCCAAGTGAAATTCTGATTAGAGAAGACATCTTCAGCCCTGGGATCCGTCAACAAGTCTTTGGATGCAATGGATCCATGTTCAAGGGATCCTCAAAACGCTCCTGTAGCCTTTGTTTATACTTGACAAAGATCAAATCATTGACCCCCTTTTGTTCAAGCCCCCTCTCTTTGTATGCACCAATGGAAAATGCATGAGCCGTAATTTAGACTATCTTTTTTGGATAGTTCAGCAGTAAGTGTCGAACTTACGATGTAGTGTTCCCTATGTGAACTACTAACCACTCCAGCACAAGCACAATCCCTTGCATCCCACAACAACAGCTGCGTAATCACTAAATCTATAATAGTCTTAAACTCTCAATAGATTAATGGTCTACTCAACTACTATTACCAATAGAATTTAAAAGTTACTTCTAGATTTATTAATAGCAACTATTAGGTCGTAAGTTAACATAAAGTTACAATGATTTAAGAAAAAACTTAGAAATACACTAATTAACAAATACTCTTTACAACTCTACTAATCTTAACAAAATGTAAATTTGCAAGATGGCAAATGCCAACTTACCATCTCAAAGGAACTTTGCAATTACAACCGAATCAGCTATTAAGGTCAATACCCCTAAGGCCATACTTTGTAAATTTGGAGCAATACTCCCATGATGGCTCCATAATTGCGAAGCATATTCAAATTGTATACAAACAACAACACTATAAGCCTAAATATCAAGATTCTAGTACTTGGCTCGGGCCATGGACTCAGCCCTGGCTCTTGCCGAGTCCAAAAATGAGATTTATTGGCCCAAATATCTCAATTTTCAGCCTTTGATCAAATAAATCAGTATGGGGCTATTGCAGAGGGTTGAATCACGATTAAATACCACCAAGTTTCAAGAGATCTCTTGTCCAAAAATGAAGGAGAAATCAACCAAATGGAAGATAGGGAAGGGTATTGGGAAAAAAAACTGTTTTTTCTCACAAAAACCGCGAACTTTCAGGCACACAAATCTCCATGTTCAGCCACTGATCAAAAAAATCAGTATAGGGCTACTCCAGAGGGTTGAATCAAGATCAAATTGAACCAAGTTTCAACAGATTTGGGCTAAAATCAGGGAGAAATTGATATAATGGCAGATTGGTTGTGGTTTGAAAAAAAAAAAAAACTGTTTTTGCCCACAAGAACCGAGGATTTTCGTGCCAAATCTCTTAATTTATAGCTTTTGAACCAACAAATAAGTATGGGGATCTTGTATAGGGTTGAATCAAGATCGACTACAACCAATGCGAATAAAAAACAAGAGAATTCTATGATTACGAGGATTAAGAAAATAAACAAATTTTCTTCACATGAAAAGCAATGAAAAATGCCAAAATCAGAACTTTTGATCCTAGTTGATCAAAGATTGAATGATTTGGATCAAGAACATGGGATATTATAGCCTGGAAAGAATTGCTTTGATCAATTTTCGATCAAGAGCATCCAAAGTTTGATCGGATGACACACCTGACGAGTATGTACACCCAAACTCGCCTCGGCTACTAGCCTAAGCTAAGTAACTCCGCTTCCGAGTGGACTTGTCTCAGTCTCTTAAAACTGTTTAATATCTATGTACTAAAACATCATATGAAAGTATGAAACTATGAAACATGAATGAATCGTAAAGAAATTATTCTAATTAAATAAACTATCTCGATTTGATTTGGTCATTTGTCTCAGCACCATTTCATCCCAAATGATTTCAATAAGAACTTATACAAAATCAACTCATCAGCAAATATCTTATCCTGGATATCATTATCGGGAACTAGCCTCTCAAGGCACTCGTTAAAGCCCTCAACAATTGCATATTTCTAATCAATATACAGGTCAGAATAAAAAAAAAATTGGGTTCAAAGAGTACCCAGTTGCGAGCGATGGTCGATGAAGCTGCATACTACATTTTCTGTCTATAATCTCCCATATTGGGCCACAGTTGTTCTCATCATTGCCAAAAGACTCAGAGCTCTCTCTCTCTTAGCTCCATCTTAGGCATCATATATAAAGCCCATAGCAGGCTTCATGTCACTATCAACATGCACAACACTTTGACAGAGGGTAGAAATACTGAAAAGCCTTAGACAAAAGAAGAATATCACGTGCCCTCATCCCTCTAGAATCCATAGCCACTTGGATTTAGACCAATCCTCTAAAGTGAATGTAATTCTCAATTGGTTTCTCTTTTTAAATATTCTATGCATACTTAGGAAAGAAGTGGAAATCTCGTTAACCTGGAAGAGGGTCTAGTGAACTTGGACATCAGGTTAAGGGTACGTGTGACTAGGCATGAACATTCTCACAGCCTTAGCCCTAGTAGTTTACCCTTTACCCTTGGCATTTCGCCAACACCTGATATCCTTAGAAAAAGTGAAGAACAGAAATAGATTGGATAGATAAGATAAATAATTATTATCATAATGTTAAAACAATAAAACAAAAAATACCAGATTTAGAAGAAATAAGGAATAGCCTAAAAGAAAATTTTAGTGAAAATCCTTTAGAATTACAGGAAAAAGATAAAGTAAAATGTGAACTAAAAATGTTAGATGAAACAAAAATAATTAGAGCAAAACCTATGCTGCATACACCACAAGATAGAATGAAGTTGAAATACAATTAAAAGAATTACTAGATAAAAAGTTAATAAAACCGAGTAAGAGTCCACAGTTCAACTTTTCTAGTTAGAAATCATGCAGAAATTAAAAGAGGGAAAGCAAGAATGGTAATAAATTATAAAATGCTAAACGATAATACAAAATTTGACGGGTATTTTATTCCTAATAAGGAAGTATTACTTAATAGCATTCAAGGAGCTGATTGGTTTAGTAAATTTGATTGCAAATCAGCATATTGGCCAAATAAAGATGGAAAATGCTGGTATTCCTTATACTGCGTTCAATGGCCTACAAGGTCAGTATGAATGGATGGTCATGCCTTTTGGATTGAAAAATGCACCACAAATATTTCAAAGAAGGATGGATGAAATTTTTAAGAAATTAGAAAGAACTGTCTAGTACATGTGGATGACATCCTAGTATTTAGTAAAATAAAAGAACATAGGTTCCATCTACAAGCAGTAAGTGAAGAATTAAAAGACCATGGGATAGTGCTAAGTGAAAAGAAAATGGAGTTAGAAAAACAGGAGATAGATTTCTTAGGAATACAGATAGATAAAGGAAGTACATAATTGCAACCTCATGTACTAGAAAAAATAGACCAATTTCCAGACAAATTAGAAAATAAGAAATAGTTACAAAGATTTTAGGATGCCTAAATTATGCTGAGTCTTTCATACCCAAACTGGCAGAATTAAGAAATCCATTGCAGAAAAAATTGAAAAAAGATTATAAATGGGAATTTAGTGAAGAAGACATAAAACAAGTAAAATTAGTAAAAATAAAAAAGAAAAATTTAGAAAAGCTAAAACTACCTCAAGAAGAAGACTTCATGATATTAGAAACGGATGTCTCAGATCAATATTGGAATGCAATAGTAAAAGGTAGGCCAGAAGAATACTAGAGAAGAATTATATAAATATATGTTAGGTACTTTTAAAAATGCAGACCAAAATTATCATATTAATAAACAAGAATATTTAGCTGTTAAAAATGGTATAAAAAAAATTGAAATCTTTTAGCACCTAAAGAATTCCTAGTAAGAATTTTTCTTCCTTTCGTAAAAATATGTTAGATAAATGTCTAGGTAGAGGACGATTATTGCAATGGCAGATATGGTTTAATCAATTTCTTTTACAATTGAACAGTTTTCAACAGAAAAGAATTGTTTGCCAAATGCACTAACTAGAGTTAAATTTCATGTTATAGAATAACTCCATGGATTCACATGAGTTGCCAACAAAGCAGAAGATAGAATTTTTGAAAAATTTGGCTAAAGAATCTCTTAAGGCAAAACATTATGAGCTATTAACAAATGTAATAAACGGAATTCCAAAACGTTCTCACAAGGATCTATGTGAGAACAAAGAAAAAATTATTGAAATACTATCCAAGTATAAGGAAATCTCGAAACTTGGAAAAGTAAGAAGATTTGTAGAGGAACTCACTGATGTCATTCTCTAAATGAATTCCAAAGCCACTCTGTGACCTGCTATAATACTTTGCCAGAAATTTATCTGGGAAAGTTAGATGCAGCCCCACATGTGTTCACCATTAATTATGGAGAACAAAGAGTGCTTCCATTACCAAATTCAAGAGGTTTATTCTATCAAGAAAAAAGCATTTCCAAAGCCAGAGCTGAAGGATTTTTTAAGATCTATAAAGCAATAGAAAAACATTACTATGAATATTCGAATCGAAGAGAGAATAATAATTATTATGCTCAAAAAATGGGTTAATTTAATCCCAAAATAATGGGAAAGTATAATTAAAAGTTCAATTGTATATCTTAATACGATTGAAATGATTCAAGTAAAGAAGTCCCAAGACCACAGACTTCTCAATCAAGAGATGAAAGGAGGAACAACTACTAGAGGAATAGATAATAATGGAGAGGATTTCTATGAAAGTTTAGATGACGTAGGATTGTCTAACCTAAACAATATGATGGAAGATTAAAAAGCAATGTCAGTGGATGCTGTAACAAGAAGCTGATATCGGTGGAAGTTGTACGAAATGCAATGTCGGTGGAAAAGAAGATGTTGTACGAATCCACTTTATGATGACAAATGATGCTTTCCTTCGACGCAAAGCAACAATTAAATGATGCTTTACTTCGAAACCAAGCAACTAGTGTTGGCAACTGATGTATATATGAGGAAAGATAAAAGGCATTCAGAGTAGGAATTGTTAGTCTATGAGTGTCTTGTAAAATAGGTTGGAGTGTGTAAGTCCTAATAACTCTGAACATACAAGTCTGAGCTACCTTTATACAAACAGTTATGAGTGAAGTTTCTATGTACCAATGAGTTTCTTGAACAATAAAATATTTGTGAATTTTTCTATTATGAGTTGCCTGTGTAAACCCTATATAAGGCCCTCCTTATTTCTATCCCGAAACCTATTATCTATAACTCTCAAAACACTCAAGAGTGTGCCATTAAAAGATCCTGTTTTGCCAAAAAAGGTCATGTAAAAGGCATGGAATTCCGTAATAGAAGAATTATATGGTGTTTCTATGAGGCTATAGGCATGGAAAGGAGAAAATGAAGAACTATAATCAACTCTAATTCTGGCAACTTGGTACGGATTCTGGGAACACATGTTTTACAGAATTCCAGATGCTCTAACACCATGCTGCTAGATGGCAGCACGATGGTATGGTGTTTTATGGAATTCCATACCATAGTACAAAGTTCCAGATGCACTAATACAAACATGCTCTGGCAAATTCCAGATGCACTAACACCTTCATAAAATTCTCATTTCCAAGACTCATCTACCAAATGCACTAACTGGAGAATTCCGTATTTTGTATTTCAAATCTGTACTAAAATCAGATTGTACTTGAAAATAACATCTTGTGGTGTGTACGAATTCGATATTTTGTATTTCAAATACTAATAGCTAGGTATTTAGTATGTCAAATTCATTTCTGTGGGTTAGCTAATGATTTTGGTCCCTTGTCTACTTGAGATGATGCGGAATTTGGAAGAAATACTGAAAAATCTGTTCTAATTAAGAAATCCATAATTGTGGGTTATGTCCACTGTTGCTTCGTCTGTTGTGTTTCTACCTTGAAATGAACATTCTCACTCTCAATTAGCAACCACTAAAGCCAAAGGATCCAAACAACTGCCTTTTACAAGACCTCCTTTTTTCGGTAAAACGTGATCTTTTAATGACACACTCTCGAATGTTTGGAGAGTTACAGAGAATAGGTTTCAAGATAGAAATAAAGAGGGCCCTATACAAGGTTTAAGCAGGCAATTCATAATAGAAAAACTCACAAATATTTTATTACCAGTTAACAGTTTTGTGCACTTACCCAACACTTTAGTACCCTTATCAATCAAAGAAAAAATGAATTGTGCATCATGTATACCTTTTTTTGATAATATTGTGCATCATGTATATCATCATGATACATCAATAGGTCTAAAAAATATTGTTCCTAAAGGACAATTCACCATCGGGTCCATCACACTCTTATTAGTCCATATATTTGTCATAAATGTGATCCCATATTGGACCAACAGATCCTCATGGGTCTTGAGGTGCCTTTGTGTGCAGCAACTCCTTCTGAAGCAATGGCTCTTTACACTAATATGGAGTTGAGCCCTTCAACCCTGGCCCAAATTGGCCAATAGCTTCCAACATTGAATGGAGACTGCATAAGAGAGCCACATTAATGTAGTACCCATAAAAAAAACCAAGCAACATACTTATTTACTCAGGTCCAATTTTCCTTCTTGAACCAATTTTCTTGTGTTACTTGTGTTTTACCCTTTTTCTACAGCGGCATCTAGAAATCTCTTTCCACTCATTACAACTTTGGGAGGAATCAATTTTCTTGTGTTACTTGTTTTTTTGCCCTTTCTCTAAAGCGACGTCTAGATTGAGGAGAAAAAGACATCCATTGGCCCCATCATACGAGGCTTCTTCAATCTCTTTCCACTCATTAGAACTTTGAGAGGAACTCACTTCTATTTCCCCTCCATCATGAACCCCATTATTACCAAAAACATTCACATCTGTCCTCAACTCTGCGATACTTGCCTCTTTTCATGCCTTCTACAACTTCCATAATGTCAAAAATCCACTTTCTAACTTCTCGTGGGACTTCCTTACATGGGGAAACATCCCCCTCATACTAACAAGGTGTTTCTTAAATCTATTAATCCTTGCATTTTTGTATTTACCAAAAAATTGCACCAGGTTTTGTTCTTATCATTGTTAACAAGTGAAGGCAACTCGGCTTCTACAATGTCAAAAGTCCCCTTTATAACTTCTCTTGGGACTTCCTTACATGGGGAAACATCCCCCTCGTACAAGCGAGGTGTTTCTTAAATCTATTAATCCCTGCATTTTATATTTACCAAAAGATTGCACCAGGTTTTGCTCTTATCATTTTTATCAAGTCAAGGCAAAACTTACACATCTCAGATCCCCACTTCTACTAGCACCTGTAGAAGAAATGTGCAAAAAAGGAAGAAATCTCAAATATGAAAATAATAGCCTTTTTCTAAGATTTACGAGCTTCTAAGTTTTTAGAAGAATATCAACCTCTAAACCCTAAACATCTCCTAATACCTTCTGAATTTTGGTTTTGAAATAAGCACATAAAAAGTGGGATAAAATTAAATCCTAATATAAAAATAAATTCCACAAAAAATATTTACAACATACCCTTAAATCAGTGGGGATTTGGGCCCTACCCCTTTTCATCAAAAAGGAAAGAAAAAACTCAAGAATACAAAGTTTATGTTACAATTCTTTCATATGTAGTCCTAGCCATATTAGAAGAGATGGGGAGAGAAAAGAAATCTGGAGGCCAGGTTCCCCTAACCATAGCCTCAAAGAGATTCACACCTCATTTGGCCAAGCAATCAGTTATCATGTTGGCCTCACAATAAACATGAGAAATGCTCTGAAAATGGCCAATAAGATGATAAGAGTAGTTTAATGAAGCAACACATAAATTCCAGGGGGGCTTGTGTTGACCTTGGCAAGAAGCAATAAAATTCGGGAATCACGTTCAATGAGGGGCATACATTGCAGCTTGATAGCCAACTAGATGCCCCTCTCAAGACTGAAATTTCAGTAATATTGGTGGTTATATGCCCCAGAAGTATGACAATGCAGCGAGAAAGTCACCCTTGTCATTCCTGATGATTCCACCACATCCAGCCACTCCAGGGTTACCAAAAGACGAGCCATCGATGTTGCGTTTAGAGTAGCCCATCGGAGGTGAAGACCACAAAACTACAATGGAAGCTATGGTTTGCACAAGATGCCATTGGATCTTCAGATTATCAATAATGTACTTCTCCGAAGGGTGAAAAGCCCAAACCCTTTCTTTCGCCAAACTTGCAACAATGTGAGATAATGTGATGGAACAACTGTTCTCTTTTGGATTTTCTCCATTCAAATGTGCATGAATTTCTCTCCATCTAGAGGAACCAGACTGTTGTCGAGAACAAGGAGATCCAAACATTCTGTAGGCTTTTGATCTGACCAGTACTGCATCCAAATGTCGAACATATAAGGGATTGGTCGCCTAATAGGGAATCTTTTTTTTACATCGCCCCATGATAGAGCGAATAACACGTACAAAAAAGGACAAAGCAAAATGTTGTGGTTCTAAGTGCCCCCCATCGAGACATAGGGGGCAATATGATGCGAAGGAGATCCATGTATTTTGGTGCAACTCTGGTGTGGGGAGATGGAGGAAAGCCAAGTGAACCACTTAGACTGTGGGTGAGAGCAAGAGACCCATAAAGATTTAAAAGATTGGTTGGGGTAAGTGCTTGTTCTATGATGTGATTCCACGAATTGTTTTTTATAGAGAAGGCCCCATCCAAGGCGTGAATCCACATAAGGAAATCTTCGAAAGGCTGCAAAAGAATCAAGAAAAAAATCACCTCTTGCCAAGCCCGAATAAGGGGTCCAGTGGAGGCATGTCGTCCTGAATCACACAGGCACCATTGATGTGGGTTTAAATATAGAAA